TTGCTACAAGCCCGTTGAGAAAATATCTTGTTGACAAGTTGTTGGAACAGCATTGTCACAACTTGTTAACAAGCTTGCTACAAGCCCGTTGAGAAAATATCTTGTTGACAAATTGTTGGAACAGCATTGTCACAACTTGTTAACAAGCTTGCTACAAGCCGGTTGAGAAAATATCTTGTTGACAAGTTGTTGGAACAGCATTGTCACAACTTGTTAACAAGCTTGCTACAAGCCCGTTGAGAAAATATCTTGTTGACAAGTTGTTGGAACAGCATTGTCACAACTTGTTGACAAGCTTGCTACAAGCCCGTTGAGAAAATATCTTGTTGACAAGTTGTTGGAACAGCATTGTCACAACTTGTTGACAAGCTTGCTACAAGCCCGTTGAGCAGATATCTTGTTGACAAGTTGTTGGAACAGCATTGTCACAACCTGTTAACAAGCTTGCTACAAGCCCGTTGAGGAAATATCTTGTTCACAAGTTGTTGGAACAGCATTGTCACAACTTGTTAACAAGCTTGCTACAAGCCCGTTGAGGAGATATCTTGTTCACAAGTTGTTGGAACAGCATTGTCACAACTTGTTAACAAGCTTGCTACAAGCCCGTCGAGGAAATATCTTGTTGTTGACAAGTTTTTGGAACAGCATTGTCACAACTTGTTAACAAGCTTGCTACAAGCCCGTTGAGGAAATATGTTGTTGACAAGTTTTTGGAACAGCATTGTCACAACTTCTTAACAAGCTTCCTACAAGCCCGTTGAGCAGATATCTTCTTGACAAGTTGTTGGAACAGCATTGTCACAGCTTGTTAGCAAGCTTGCTACAAGCCCGTCGAGGAAATATCTTGTTGACAAGTTGTTGGAACAGCATTGTCACAACTTGTTAAGAATCTTGCTACAAGCCCGTCGAGGAAATATCTTGTTGACAAGTTTTTGGAACAACATTGTCACAACTTGTTAACAAGCTTGCTACAGGCCCGTTGCGCAGATATCTTGTTGACAAGTTGTTGGAACAGCATCGTCACAACTTGTTAACAAGCTTGCTACAAGCCCGTTGAGCTGATATCATGTTGAGAAGTTTTCGGAACAGCATTGTCACAACTTGTTAACAAGCTTGCTACAAGCCCGTTGAGGAATATCTCGTTGACAAGTTGTTGGAGCAGCATTGTCACAACTTGTTAACAAGCTTGCTACAAGCCCGTTGAGGAAATATCTCGTTGACAAGGTATTGGAACAGCATTGTCACAACTTGTTAACAAGCTTGCTACAAGCCCGTTGAGGAAATATCTTGTTGACAAGTTGTTGGAACAGCATTGTCACAACTTGTTAGCAAGCTTGCTACAAGCCCGTTGAGGAAAGATCTTCTTGACAAGTTCTTGGAAGAGCATTGTCACAACTTGTTAACAAGCTTGCTACTAGCCTGTTGAGGAGTCATCTTGTTGACAAGTTGTTGGAGCAGCATTGTCACAAGTTGTTAACAAGCTTGCTATAAGCCCGTTGAGGAAATATCTTGTTGACAAGTTGTTGGATCAGCATTGTCACAACTTGTTAACAAGCTTGCTACAAGTCCGTTGAGCAGATATCTTGTTGACAAGTTTTTGGAACAGGATTGTCACAGCTTGTTAACAAGCTTGCTACAAGCCCGTCGAGGAAATATCTTGTTGACAAGTTTTTGGAACAGTATTGTCACAACTTGTTAACAAGCTTGCTACAAGCCCGTTGAGGAAATATCTTGTTGACAAGTTGTTGGAACAGCATTGTCACAACTTGTTAACAATTTTGCTACATGCCCGTTGAGGAAATATCTTGTTGACAAGTTGTTGGAACAGCATTGTCACAACTTGTTAACAATCTTGCTACAAGCCCGTTGAGAAAATATCTTGTTGACAAGTTGTTGGAACAGCATTGTTACTACTTGTTAACAAGCTTGCTACAAGCCCATTGAGCAGATATCTTGTTGACAAGTTGTTGGAACAGCATTGTCACAACTTGTTAACAAGCTTGCTACAAGCCCGTTGAGGAAATATCTTGTTGACAAATTGTTGGAACAGCATTGTCACAACTTGTTAACAATCTTGCTGCAAGCCCGTTGAGAAAATATCTTGTTGACAAGTTGTTGGAACAGCATTGTTACTACTTGTTAACAATCTTGCTACAAGCCCGTTGAGCAGATATCTTGTTGACAAGTTGTTGGAACAGCATTGTCACAACTTGTTAACAAGCTTGCTACAAACCCGTTGAGCAGATATCTTGTTGACAAGTTGTTGGAACAGCATTGTCACAACTTGTTAACAAGCTTGCTACAAGCCCGTTGAGCAGATATCTTGTTGACAAGTTGTTGGAACAGCATTGTCACAACTTGTTAACAAGCTTGCTACAAGCCCGTTGAGCAGATATCTTGTTGACAAGTTGTTGGAACAGCATTGTCACAACTTGTTAACAAGCTTGCTACAAACCCGTTGTGCAGATATCTTGTTGACAAGTTGTTGTAACAGCTTTACCACAACTTTTGAACAAGGTTGCTACAAACCTGTTGAGGAGACATCTTGTTGACAAGTTGTTGGAACAGCATTGTCACATCAGGCTTGCGTGAGAATATTCGCTAAGTATATCTAATATTTCAAATCCGTCCATGAGGAATGAACTAGTTTAAGGTCCGCATAATTTGATCTGGATGAAAATGCGAGGACTTGAAATCTAGTCCAATCCGAATTTGAGGATTTTGAAATGATATCTGATATGAATAATTCACTGCTTAAAGTGAAGTGAATTAATTTTGATCCACTCCTAGGACAGGTTTAATATACTTCACCAGGTATCCGGTATTATCATGTGTAATATTTGCAATTTAAAGGTATTGGACTTCAGACATAATTTTCTTTTTGGCGTACCATCTAAAATATCTTCATTTTAGTATCATTTTACAGATAAAGCACTAAGCAAACGTTTTAAGTTTGTTTGCTGATTGCGAGAGTGCCGACTGAGAAACGTGTTATATGTAAACAAAACCGCGCGGGAATCGAATTATTAAATGATGAGATTATTAAGCAAACGAATTATTAGATGAATAAAAACCCTAAATATATTTACAAAACTCATTAATAATTCAGGAGCAAAACACAAAGAAAAATCATAAGCGTGTCGTGGTTTTATATGTGATAAAAAATCACATTAATTTACATAAACTTTAGCTTTGATCTTCTCGGTTTAGAGAAAGTACGCGTTGTGTTTTATATGTGGTAAAACACTCCTACGCGTGCTTTAAATAGTACTTAATTATAGGCTACATAAGAAGTCCGTAACCTTTGAGTGTTTTGAAAATGTTTTTATTTTTCATAGAATTGAAGAGCTTTTTAACATTATTGTGGACTACCCTGAATCTCTGAAAGCCTTAGAAGACCTCAAGGTTCAGATTTCATTTTAGATTTTTGTCAGTAATTTGTCCCCTAATATATATTCATACGTATTAAAACCATTATATACTTATATTATATACTTTTTGCAGGAATGCTTAGAAAAGACAGATTTACGAGCACACCTTATCAATTCACTTCGCTCTTCGTAAGTACAGTACATTATATTTTCACATGCAAGAATGAAGAACTAAAAATGCTAGTCAGAATAGGAAGACTGATAACTTGAAACAACTGATTTGTGTAAACGCATGACCGAGCGATCTAAAGCACCTGGAATATCATGACTTATCAGACTTTCACGAGCCCAAATAAAACTTCTAGGCAGTCATTATTAAGCGATAGTGTTTAAATGTATGGACTATAGAATGATGTAACAAATGTTGTATCATGTTTGGCAAATACATTTTTACCCAATCTGGGACACCCGACTTTCATAATTTTCTGGGGGAGAACGTATCCCCTTGATAGTGCCTCTTAGTATAGTACCCTTTTTGGCATCTGTAGTTACCTTCAACACTTGATGCATGTTATGTAAATAGTTTTATGTTATATTTTAAGATTCTCGTTGTACCGAAATAAGTTTTTCTGTGAAATATAGCATGACATCCATTGCGACAACTTGTTAGTGTCACATAGTTACAGTGTCTTCGTGTGTTGATATAAGAGTTCTATTTTCTTGAAGGTTTGAAAGTCGACTGCTCCACCCCGGGGCTGAAACCACGGATATTCTAACTCAATATGTGTCGGCAATCCGAGCACTGAGGGTACTCGATACTTCTGGAGTGATCCTGGAGAATGTCTGTGAACCTGTTAAAGCTTATCTCAGGTATGAAATATAAATATTATTGAAATTCTTGTCTACTGGACAGAAACACTTCAACATTCAGTTCATCTGAAAATCTTTAATATCTACCTACAAGTGTTAAATCTCGACAATTGTCTCTCTCTGTAGCTCAGTTGGTTAGTTTTTGGAACAGCATTGTCGCAGCTTCTTAACAAACTTGCTACAAGCCCGTTGAGGAAATATCTTGTTGACAAGTTTTTGGAACAGCATTGTCGCAGCTTGTTAACAAGCTTGCTACAAGCCCGTTGAGGAAATATCTTGCTGACAAGTTGTTGGAACAGCATTGTCACAACTTGTTAACAAGCTTGCTACAAACCTGTTGAGGAGATATCTTGTTGAGAAGTTGTTGGAACAGCATTGCCACAACTTTTGAACAAGGTTGCTACAAACCCGTTGAGCAGATATTTTGTTGACAAGTTTTTGGAACAGCATTGTCGCAGCTATTTAACAAGCTTGCTACAAGCCCGTTGAGGAAATATCTTGTTGACATGTTTTTGGAACAGCCTTGTCACAGCTTGTTAACAAGCTTGCTACAAGCCCGTTGATGAAATATCTTGTTGACAAGTTGTTGGTACAGCATTGTCACAACTTGTTAACAAGCTTGCTACAAACCCGTTGAGGAAATATCTTGTTGACAAGTTGTTGGAACAGCATTGTCACAACTTGTTAACAAGCTTGCTACAAGCCCGTTGACCAGATATCTTGTTGACAAGTTTTGGAACAGCATTGTCACAACTTGTTAACAAGCTTGCTACAAGACCGTTGAGGAAATATCTGGTTGACAAGTTATTGGAACAGTATTGTCACAACTTGTTAACAAGCTTGCTACAAGCCCGTTGAGGAAATATCTTGTTGACAGAGGGCTGCACCGGAATCGCATTGCTCCTAGTCTCGAAATTTCCATAGAGCGATATAGTTAGAAATTGCTTGCTGTTCAGCTTGCTAATAATTTTCAAATATGAACGAAAATTTTGAGGGAATCCGAAAGGCGCTCATTTGCACGCTGAGCTACTAACAGTAAATGGTGATATTTACTCAATATCACGTGATTATAATGAGCCAATTAAATGACCATAATTTAACGAGGTGTCATACAGTAATTAACATATCATTATAATGTGACAGTAATAATTTTGGTGTGTATAGATTGATGCTGAATTTTTCGAAGGAGATATGTGCAAGCCCTTTGAGATAATCTTCTGAACTTTATAGGTTCGCTTACACGGTCAAAATTTCTGTGATTAAAGTAATTGTCGATTTTGATGACAGAAACTATGATAGTGAAGTGTAGTTTCGTTTTATATTCTTTCAAGTGTTTGACAAGTTTACCGAAATTTCGCGATAAAAAGAATAACATCATTCAACATCATTGATGAATGCGATTTCCCCGAAAACTGCATGTGAATGTGGTCCATGATTCTCGAAGTGAAATTTTCTTACGTCGTCGTCTTTGTATACGCTTGTTTGTTTACGACCTGACGTCAAAACACGTTCCTAACAAATGAGTCATCCGCTGCGCAAACAAGCTACCAATAGTTATGCACTGCTAATGACCTTGCATATAATGGTTATTTTACACAATGGTTGAGAATTACACAGTTGAGAAATGAGGCACAGTCCCAAACTTTTTGACGAAATAGCATCTCTATTTTCGGCAAGTTGTCCTTTCGGCAAACTGTCCGTTCGGCAAAATGTCCTGTCGGCAAAACGTCCGTTCGGCAAAACGTCCGTTCGGCAAAACGTCCGTTCGGCAAAATGTCCGTTCGGCAAAATGTCTTTCGGCAAAATGTCTTTCGGCAAAGTGTCTTTCGGCAAAATGTGTTCTTCTTGATCTGAGCAATCGTCCATTACTTGACTTATTATACTTTACTGATTATTAGAACCAGAGACGATACAGTTCGCTGTATAGTGACAAGTTTAACAGATGAAAACAGTTCAGAATTATCTGAGGTAAATGATTCAATGACATTGAGGTAAAAAGTGGGAACAGCATAGTTTGGAAAGGGGTCTTATCCTCCCTTTTTGACCCCCGCCCTCTTCTTTTTACCAATGTCTCCCATTTTTCGAAACATTTCAACCCCAAAGAGTGCCAAATTTGACAGGTCAAAGCTTGCAAATGACACTGCATGTACTTTTAAACTTCTGACCAAATCGAGCACTAAAGGCTTTCTGACCAAGTTATATTCTCCAGTACCTAGCGGGTGTCCCTAAAAAAACTGGACACTGATTGGGGGGGGGGGGGCACCCAGTAGAGTATCGATATTGATTGCGTACTCTTGTCTCGTCCCCAGGAATTGTTACAAGGCGATACTAAGACAATAGAAGATGTACACACGCTGGACAGTGATAACGAGGATGACGAAGGGGAATGGATGCCAGACCCGATTGATGCTGATCCATGTAAGTACAAACGAACTTTTTATATTGGAACGTATGTCAGTCTTAGAAAATGTCCTGTAGCGTGAAAGGCACCCGGTGTCAGGAGATTTTTAACAAAATATCTTTGCACGAAATTGTCTTATACCTTGCAGAAACGTTTTGTCATCTTACATAAATATACTGGAATATCAAAAATAGATTGTCTTTTGCCCAAATTGAATGTGCAAATTTATTGAACGTAATTATAATATGTCTATAACTTAAATTTTCATATATGCCTTGCACATTTCTTTAAAGTATTAGCCGAGATATAGGCGTTTACACTCAAGGTAGCGTTTATGGAAGAAGCGAAAAATGGTCTATTAATTTGCATTATGGTAATAGAATGGCCATTTTTCGCTTCTTCCAAAAATGCTACCTTGAGTTACTATCTCGGCTAATATTCTATAGAAATGTTTAAGGCATACATCAAAATTTAAGTTTATTTAGACATAACTGCGTTCAATGGACCCATTACCTAGTGAACAAAAGTTTTATCCAGACAAGTTTAGACACAAATTTCATCAGAGCTTGAAAGGCCATCACAAAATTAGTAATATTCCGAAGTTTCGTTGCGAAATGTTATAAAATGCGGATAATATATAGCCCTGCGAAGTTTGCCGTTTTTCAGTCATTTTGTATTAGTACGCACGGGAAATTGATACCTTTTTTCAGAAAGCTGTATCAATTTCCCGTGTGCGTAACACAAATGACTGAAAAACGGCAAAATTTCGCAACGAAAGTTCGGAATATTACTAATTTTGTGATGGTCTTTCAAGCTCTGATGAAATGTTTGTCTAGACTTGTCTAAATAAAAATTTTGTTCATTAGGTAATAGGTCCTTACTTGAATAAGATGGCTTCTTTTGGTTAAGTCAAAGAGGGGAAACATTTTTTGCGCCACCCCGGTGCAGGAAATTTTTAGTTTTGCATTTTCCAGCCAGGAAGAGAAATATAGGTTGTTTACCATTTACATGGAAATTCCGGTGATTCCATACGGAAAATAAATGGAACAAGCATATTTCGACGGCCCAACCGGAACTTTTCCGGAATAAACGGTTTGTTTGAAAAGGTTGTCCTCTCTTACCGATTGGAAAGTTTCAACCGGTAAATGTTGTTCCATTTACATTTTTCAAATTTTTTTCACCAGTTCCAGGCTCTTCGTGATTTAACAATTGAAATTATTAAGTGGAAAGCGAATAATCCGAATGGGATTTTCTATCCGAAATTTTGCTTACCATTAGCACAATTTCAAACTGGATGGGTTTTACATGTAAATGGTAAACAACCATAGTTTGCTAGACGTAAGCTAGAAATTCTCTTCAAACAGTATCGTCAGGTGTTGATGAAAGGTGACGTTGTGTTTGACTGTTATAATATTCTTACATTTTTTTCTTCATGCAGCTAAACCATCTAAAAGCAGGAAGTCGTCGGATATTATTAGGTATTGCTGTACAAAATATTGTTACCGTTCTTTGTATCACTGGATTTTTTCAATTGAAGTTTTTTTATTGTATCATTGGAGTTTTTTCAGGGCTCCATACTATAGAATAGTATATGGATCCCTCTTGGAAATTGTGTGAAAATACATTTTCCGTACTAAAATGAAGATCATTAAATCTGAATATTGTTATTTTGTTCAGTATGTTGGTCAACATCTATGGCAGTAGAGATCTGTTTGTGTCTGAATACCGCACATTATTGGCTGATCGCATTCTGTCTTCTTTCAATTATGATATCGCTAAGGAGGTATATCTCGTATGTTATAATTTGCATCTATAATTTTAATCATTGTCAATAGAATAAGTAAGTTAGGAAACTCCATGCAGACAGGTTTATACAAAGAATGGTCGATTCATTGTCACATGTGTTTTGTGTTTTCGCCCAACCAACCAATGTACAGTACACGTAAATATATCACAACTTGTCAACAAGATGTGTTCGCAACAGGCTTGTAGCGAGCTTGTCAACAAGTTATAACAATGTTGTCATTTTATCAAGTTGCTGCAAACCTGTCACTCACAACTTGTTGACAGATTGTTGAATTGCAGGACGATAACAAGTTGTTGGAACTACTTGTAACAAGAATGTTGAGCTCAACAACCTTGAAGCAAGTTGTGAACAAGCGGTTGACAACTTGTCAACAAGCTGGGAACAAGCAGTGCGAACACATCCTGTTGACAAGTTGTTGGAACAACATTGCTATTGTGCGTTTTTACGTGTGTAGCAGTTTTTGGTTTAATTACCCAGTCGTGATATTACACAACGGTTAAATGAAAACATACTTTAGCTACTGGTTGCTCTGGCGAAAATTAAAATTAAGATTTCCTTCGGTCATCAAAGTTTCTAAAATTTTGTAGGTGTTAATAGAATATGTAGTAGAAGATTATATTAAAAAATTAGGGGTGGTTATAAATTCAGTTTTTGAGATATTACGCGAAATTTGTTCCACAAAAACTGTTTTATAAAATCTTTTGAAAATTGAGTAAATTGCAATAAATGACTAGTACTTTCAAAATAAAAAATTTCAGAAAAATTGACCGAAGTAAAAAATAATTTTATTGCATCATAAACCTTGCGCGGTCAAATGAAATTTTTGCTGACGTGATAAAATTTCATCTTGACAAGACACGTCATTTTGTTACTAACCCCATCTTAAAGGGGAAGTCAAGTCCGTTCTGCACATCCGTTCTGCTCATAACAATGTGAGGACCTCTAATGTGAACATTGCCCAAATTTCGAATGCTTCGAATTTTTCTGAACGTAAACTCTATTTCATATTCATTTAGAAGCGTAGCGAACCAAAATGGTGTTAGATATTCAGACAGTACAGTACATCATATTTTAAAAAATACAGCAGTTCAAAATGTAAACAAACCCGTTTGTTTACATTACGGACTTGACTTCCCCTTTAAGAGTAACTTTCTTTATTGTGCTTTACACAGAAGACAAAATAAAGTGGGGTCCATTGAAAATTTGAAATGGTGATTTTTCATTTCAGCTCCGTTATTTGGAACTTCTCAAATTACGATTTGGCGAATCACATCTTCAGTTCTGTGAAGTAATGTTGAAAGATGTCGCTGATTCCAGACGAATCAATACGAATATTCATTCAAAGATCGAAAGTTCAGAACAGAAGGTATTACTCGGATTTTGCCTTAACTTTTCAGTTTCAACTCTCCAATATACAGTAAGTCCCCTATGTATTCAGTAAGTATGCAATATTGTGTAAAAACGCCTAGATGTATTAGTTTGTGCTCATAGTGTAGATTTACACAAGTTTGTGGGCCACATACAGCAGCAAGCTGCTTTACACCAAAGCAGTGTAATGGATTATATGATAAAGTGGAATGGATTTACTTGGGGTGGGGGGCACGCACCCCTAGCCCAGGCTAGAGGGGGTCAGGGGTTGGGCTATTTTTCATGGTAAAGCAAAAAATATTAGAGACAAAATGAGATACAGTAATTTGAGTAATAATATGATGATAAGCGAACTGTGAACAACAATTCAAATTCAAATACAGTAGTCAAGCAAGACTTTCCAGTAGTGAAGCAAGTTGATGGGCGGGGGCGACACACATGACTGACACAACTCGGCAACAGAGCTGGCAGAGCACCCCGCCCCCTACCAAATCATGCTGGATTCATCCTGGTAAAAAAACCCCTTTGGATCTGTTAGTTTACCCTCATAGTGTATAGATTTAAACCAAGTTGGTGTCCACACAGTTGTAAGAATTTACATCGATTTTGGTGTTGTGGTAAGACTGCAAGATTTACAGTGCATGCAGTAATTCCAAAATGTAACCTTCCACTAGCGTACACTCATGTGCCCCTCTTGAATTGGAGAACTCCGACCTGGAAAAGAGTGGAATTTCGAGATCCTGATTTGCTAGCTTAATGAATCATTATACCATATACTTTCATGTTTGTCACTTGAGACATGTAATATAAATACAGTCAAGTGTACTTTGTTGTTGCATTCATATAATGGCGTGATTATGCACGGTCAAATTTTGTCTGCCCCTGACCCGTAAATTTTACCCTCCCCCAATCCATCACAAAGTTATAAATTTCTAGTTTATTCATTTTCCAAACAAACTGTTTTGACTTTTTCAGCCTGAAATTGAAATCCACGGTATGATTTTGTCCAACGTATTCTGGCCAACGTTTAGAGAGGAGAAATTGGAGCTTCCTGAACAAGTAAAAAGGTTTGATGATTGTTTATGATTATTTATTAGATATAATATAACACCATGCATGTATTAGATATTCTCACTACTCTGGTGTGAATGTAATCTGTTCGAAAATTATATTAATTTGTTAAACCAGAGCAGTAAAGCATTCTATGTAGCGATTGGGAATTCTGCACGGGTTTTCCGATATCGAGACAAACTAATTTTCCTTTGTTTCTTGATCAAGATGAGGTTTTTTACTATAAACATTACATTTCTTCTTAGAATGACTCAAATGGTACAAATACCAAAAATTATATTTGGGGTTAGTCTCACTTTTATATTTTGTTTTTCCACTATCTAGTTCAATGGAGAACTACACAGAACAATTCAAATCACTCAAAGGTTCACGAACGTTACAATGGAAACCTCACCTAGGACTGGTTGAATTGGAACTAGAACTTGAAGATCGAACATTGTCGTTCACTGTGACTCCAGCACGGGCCGCCACGATCATGTACTTTCAACAAAAACGTAAGTTTAATTTTAAGTTTAGGCATGAATGAACCATAGACGGATTTTCTGGGGGGGTGCAGGGGGGTGCTACCACCCCAATATTAGCTATAACCCCCCCCCCAAACAAAATGTCCACCCCTCCAAAAAAAATTTTCAACCCCCCCAATATTCGGCATAATAAATAAATAATTAAATAGTCCACTCCAACGTGCAGAGTGTTGATGCAGTGCCTTGTCATGCGAATAGCTTGCACGCAAGGAACGTTAGGAATTTTTACGAACATTATTTTTAGTTTTTAATTCTTTTACGAAATAGACTTGCCTAGATCTTTACGCCCCAGATATTATTTACATCGGAGTTGCATCATAAATTGTACTCGGATTCAAACAACACAATGTCAATGACTTTATAAAAGTAAAAGCATATTGTGTATTGGCCTATTGGGGTTACACTTTACAGGTTCATTTAACTTTAAGTCTTTAACTCTCTCAAGTCTCAACAGACAATCGGACATGCCAAATCCTTTGATATGACAAATTGACAACTTCAAAAAACTTTCTTTCGAAGCTAGAAATCATGATTTTTTTCAAATGTTTCCTGGGGTACTTTGTTTTCTGCTCTCTAGACTCCCCCTAGCGGCTCTAGTGCTCCACCCCTAGAATATAGACCTTACTGGGGTTTGGTGACACTTTGTGTTGCTTCAGTCACCTGCTCATGGCTCACCCCCCTAAAATTTCTGGCACCACCCCAGTAATAAATATGAAAATCCGTCTATGGAATGAACTGAAGTCTTAGTAAAATAAAGTTTAGTTTAGCTTGGTTTGGTTTGGTTTAGTTTCTGTACAGGTAGCTTATAGTTCTGTATAATAACAATGAAACTAAGGGTTGCCAATAGAATTTGGAGTAGGAGTTATTTTGAAAGAATTAAGCTGGGGAGAGGGGTTTGTCTGTGAAGATTCTGAAATTTAAACCCTTTGAAGAAATGGCATTTCCAGCCATATTGGAGAGTTTTGTCATTTTATCCAAATATTTAAGAAAGACTATTGTGTAAAATTGATGTTAGGCCCCGTTTACATGAAACCGGAACGAAGTCAAACCGAGACCATTTCGTTTCGGGCATAGTTATATAACTTATAATAGATGTTTACATGAGACCGCGACACAAGTAACTCAGACTGGTCTCAAGTCATTCCGCCTGCTGGACCGATCCAACTGACTTCAGACCAACATGAATTCAGACCGGGATGAATGTAAACACAAATACATTTCAGACCGGTCTCGGCTGTAACCTTGACATTGGAACAACTCATGCGAACAAAAACCATCTAAAAGAGAAAATTGCTTGGCAAGGGGAATAAATTTTGTGATTTTCGTACCGATCTCATGTAAACATGTTGACAATTTCAATTTTCATTCCAGAAAGAAACCTTTCTCTTGACATCTCGGCGGTAACGAGAAAATATTTTGGTTTGTGTAATTTCGAGAAATAACTAGCAATTGTCCGAGCTATAGACGGCAAAAGTCACTGAATCCTACTGGAACACTGAGGCAATAAGAGATGCTCCTTACTGCGCTTTTCGGAATTTAGGACGGTTTTGAAACAACTGTCCAGCGCCGTTTTGTATATATTTAGCAATGAGTGAAATTAGCCGATTTCCCCGTCATTTTGGGGTACTGCCTTTCCCACGTTTGAGAGTCTCCGCATCACGAAATACAACTTTTTAGTATTGTAGTTGTTTGTATAATGTATAATGGTACAATATTTAAAAGTCGTTTTTCTCGTTGTTTGAATTGTCTAGAATCTTTCACGAGGGCAGACAGTACCCCAAAAATGGCGGATTTTGGCCATCGTGAGAAAGGCTATAGAATAAAAAATATCTACCTACAGTATATCTTATGAATACGACCTTACAGCAACTCCAACTGAAGATGCTTTTTGCTCTTTTTCTTGCAGCCCGCTGGAGTTTGGAAGAACTGAGTAGTGCGATGCATATGTCGAGCAGTATGTTAAGACGTTGTCTCGGTTACTGGCTTGGCCAGGGCGTGTTGAAACAGGAAAGCCAAGACGTTTATGTTGTCTTGGAGAAAAACCGCGGCGGACAAGATTTACAAGGTAAGCATGATGGGATATATTTAATGAAAGTGAAAAGTATAAAGATCCGGTCAATCGAGGATGAGAGTTACAAATCGTTTGAATTTTGATGAGAGTTTTTGCTACGTGCGTAGTTATAATACGATGCAGTTAACTCCCATCAACTTTCGTGCAACTCGATTGACCAGGACATGAGAGTTAAGAAAACCATAGCTAATAGAATAGATGGTTTGGAAACTCATTAGAATAAAAATATAGCTCGTTGTCTATATTAGTCGACGTTTATTCATAAATATGGTTCTTCACCGTCACGTGTGTAATTGTATTTTTGCCAAATCCACCAATAACAATCTCCAATTTAGCAATCTAATTCTCGTTAACCAATGCAGAAATTAAAACATGTGACAAGCAATTTTTCAAAATAAACTAACCATTTACAAGGCAGAGTTACCATCATTCGTCCAAAAAATTACAAAAAGTCGCTGTTATGTGGACTTATCTCGCAGACTTCGGCTGAAAAGCCACCCAAAAATGGCGGCGCGAGAAAGGCTAATTGGTTGTAATTCTTTTACATTCTAGACGTTGTATATGATGCGGAGGGTGAGTCAGCCATGGCCACTTCACAAGATCAACGGGAGGGAGAGTTACAGGTTAGTCATTATATACTATTCATTGGGATTTCTGTGGCGTGTAGTGATCACAGCAAGCACCTTGTACCTCTGAGATCGTGGGTTAGATTCTCGCTATGGACTCATGTGAAAAGAGTCTGCCGACGTTCTGCCGAAAGCGGTGGGTTTTTTGTTGATGATGATTATTGTGATACCTTTATTTAACCACGCTGACATTGTCAGCTATAACTCGTTCCACAATGGGCGTGTAAAAAATTAGAATTAGTATTGGTTGCAAGTAAGAGAATAAGAAAGAATCCATTAACAATGCAAATCGAAAATATACAATAATCATATTAGTTCTTTGTAGGATTGCATGGCGATAAAACATATAATTTTTTTTGTTTGTAAAAACATCACGTAAATTTATTACTGCAAAGCTTTCGATCCGTATAAACTCGGATCTTCATCAGTGCTGATGTTATTGTTATATAACAAAAAATCCCATCTTGATCAACTGTCAAAGTTTCCGGGTATGATGCGTAGATATCTTATATACACTAGATAGTGCATCTAATTATTGTGCAATTCAAAAATTGAAGCCGTGATTGCAGTCTCAGGTCGTTCCCATGAAATGAGAAGATTAGTATGTTTTCTATCTCTTAAGGTGGTCTTCCACCCAAATTTTCCGATATTCGTTATTTTTTAGAAAAACGTAAAAAAGTAGTCTTTATAGCGTTCTTTATAAAATCCGTGTAATTTTAAGAACGAAAATGTACCGTAAACCCGAGAAATCCAGCAAATTCTACACCTTCGTAGGGTAAAACCACGATTTTACCCGGAGCGATAAAGATATGCGATTGGTTTAGTCTATTGTTCTATTTTCAATTATATTGTTCTATCTAAGTTATTCTAATATATGCAAAAACTTTAAAATCGCTTTTCTCACACGAGCATTTTGCGAAATATTAAAAACTCTCCTACTGTTCATACTGAAACAATTCGTTCGAAATTTTCAGAGTTTATTTGCTTAGCCATGTCATGGACCTAAAAAACTTCATATATCAGCAATATACATTGCAAGAGTAGCCTTATAAGAACTCCTTTCTTCATATAATTTTAAAAAAGTAAAATATGAAGGCCTTATTATATTACTTGTATATTTTTTTAGGTTCATGACATAGATCGATGTATTAAGTGTCCATTAAAGCTGTTTCTAAAATCCGCGGTAAATTAGTTTGGCTCACATCATTTTTGGAGCAAACCCTATATTTTACCCTATAGCGAGGCCTATCTTAGTTACTATGGCAACGACGAATGTAAAAGTTACTGATCCTGCGTCAGCTGAGGATATTCCATCATATTTGACTCAAATATGATGATAAAACCTTTAAATTGAAAAAAATGTTTTTAGGGTGGAAGACCACCTTAAACAGGGAACTTAAGCATTAAGTTAACCCTACTCCATGCAATTACGTTTTTAAACTATTCAAATGATAAAAGTTATTGTTGTTTTTAAGCGTTTATTAGCAAGTGGGAACGACCAAATGGCCGCCATCTATTCAAATGGGGGTAACCGCTGGAATATTCTTGGCTTCAATTTTACTAAAAGAGATGCGCTATCTAGTGTATATAAGATATCTATGGTATGATGTCATTAGATGAATTGCAAATTAGTTTTCCTTTGTTTTTTGTACCAAAAATTCACCTAATGACATCATATCTGGAAACTTTGATAGTGAATAAGAGGTACGGTACCAAAAATTGAGCGTAGTGTAAACGGGGTTCAAGATGGGGTTATTAAAGACACATTACGTTTCTTCATGGAATGACCCAAATATAACACATTAGTCGCACTTTTATAAAAGATTTTGAAAGCCATGATTCACGTCCTTTTGATCATTTCCAGATTTTCTGGTCCTATATTGTTGGTATGTTGACAAATCTGGACAGTCTACCACTGGATCGAATCCACTCAATGTTGAGAATGTTCGCAATGAGTGGCCCCAACACCAGCCAATGTAATGTCGATGACTTGAAACGATTTCTCGAGAAAAAAGTTCGCGATGGTGAACTGCAGTTTGTCAGCGGCAAATATAAATTACCAAGACCCGGCAAATAGAATAATATAAGGTATAGTGTTTGATATGTAATAATGTATATATTTATATAGAGAAAGTATTATTTTGTATGTATACAAAATACGAAACAAAGTATATGAAGTCTCGGGCTCCATTAATTATTATACAAAAAAAATGCAATACTTCCATAGAAAGTTTAATAGAATAGCTGTGTAAAACATTTGGGACACACTGAGCTATATATTCTATTTTGGGGGAGACACCCTGTGTAACGTTTCAAAATACAGTATGATTTGTTCATCTGGCCCATTGAACTTGTTCTCGTAGTGATAACGAAGGATCTTTTTTGACGTACTCGACATGAAAATTTTGGATATACAGGGTGTATCAAAAAAAGCGCAATCCTCGACTGAAATGTAAATTGCTAAACAAATAATAGACGAAAACGTTAAAGTTTACATTCATTTTAAAGCGTAGCCATTCAGCTTTCTAACAGTGGGTTGTTTCTTAAATTTGACTCATTGGTTCGCGGCTAATAATACTTTACGTTATTGCGATTGGAGATTAAAAAAATTGAGATGGAATAACAAATCGTTCTCATGAAAATAACTGATTTTTTCATTGAAACAAAAAATGTTGCATTTTATTAAATGGATTGTAACAATAAGTATAATTACGGCTTTTCTTCCACTATTTTTAACTCAGTTTTAAACTTCAAATGCGATATAATTTTGGCTTGGACCATCTAAGCTGACTGACATCAACTTGCTATAATTTCTGTTTACATTACATCGCAATTCGATGACACTCTGGCTCAGACACCAGAATGTTTTGTCCACAGGGCCGCCCAGAGGTTGGCGGGGGCCCGGGGCAATTTTTTTTTTAGGGGCCCCTATCTAAAAAAATTTTCCCGGAAAAATTTTTTTCCGGATAACAACCTCCCCCCCCGTCGCCAAAAAATTTTCGGTCAGTGTACCATTTTAGGGGTAAAAACATTTTTCCGGAGTACAAAATTTTGCCGGACGAGTACGTTGCAAATGCTTTCGAGGGACTTTATCTCATTTTTTTATGCCAAAATTCAATGCTGAGCCCAAGAAAACAGATATCTTGTCCTTTGCGCGGAAATATTTAACACACAAAAAAGGCTGGGGCCCTACAAAAATTTTTCAGGGGCCCCCAGCAACTCGGGACCCGGGGCAATTTGCCCCCCCCCCCTCTGGGCGGCCCTGTGTTTTGACGATTTTTAGCATTCGTTTAGGATTTTCAAACAACCTGGTCTCTTTTAAAATACTTTTAATTTGTTCTTACGTGGTTTTCCAGATGTAGTGACGACAACATTAAGTTTAAAGAAGAAAATTCTAACATTTAAACCGACTAAACAATAACATAGTAAACTTGCATAATTATAAACAGCAACTAAAAATGATAGGTTTTACTAAATCTTTTCCTGTGCAATTATACTAGCATTGGAGACAAGGATAATAGTTTGTTTGAAAGAGAAAAGAACAGGCTTTGAAGTAAGCCTAAAAGCGTTTAACTAGAAATAGTATTTCGAAAGTTATTAAGCACAAAAGATGAATTGCGTTTATTTTGATACACCCTGTACACTCAGAGTAACATCAAAAACATATTCACCTGAGTACATCATATCAAAACACACACAAAAATATCATGATCATATAACACATTGGTATCGAAAGTACCGGACTTAGACTTAGTTCCGAAATACCACACACTCGAACTGACTTGGCCTCGTATCTACAAAAATCTGTCACTTTCTGCAGTTAAATCGTTGACTCACAAATAGCAGAAGAAAATACATCGTCGCCTCAGAAAAGGTAGAATGCGGTCTTCCCAGAGTTTTACAAATTTTCAATCAAACGTTTGATCTATTATTCATTGCTCTATTATGTGTCTGTTGTTCTTAGTCCCAGTAACCCAAATTCTATTTTCCTTGTCCAAAATTTGGCAAACCTGTCGATTCCCATATGTATTGTGATTAACTTGGTCCGGATTTCTATTGAGATCAATGACTACATCACGATGATGTCATGATGCGATCACATGACAAACTCATGTTCACAAAGTTGCAACAAAATGGCTTCTGTAGGGTGGAATTTTTCTGTTCTTTTCGCTGTAATATTACTTTTTTTAACGCAACCTGTGGCTGCTTTTGATGCTGGGGATGCTATCGCATTAATACTTGGCTTAGTGATCGGAATTATGGGTATTTGTGCGTGTCTCGGCGCTTATGCAAGGCGGAAAGAGGGAGTATAATTTAAACACATCACAAGACGATTCCAAACACGACCTATTTAAAATAAAGACAAGGGTAATTTTAGAAAAAATACGACGAAAATTAATTTGATTGCTTGAATATGTAATGGAGAAAATGAATGGCATTGTAAATTGAAACTTTGGACAATTATCCGAGGAGCAAACATTGGATGTATGAATTGAATACTTTTTAAAGACAACTTTATGGTTACTGATTTTCCTTTTGATTTCATCACTGGTTTTGATGTCTTAGATATGTGCAATGTTTCTGAGTGACTTTTGTGGTCTTTTCTTTACTGGATTTATTCGAGGCAAGTCATATTTTGAAAGTTAGAATTGTACACTCGACTTGGATTACTAATGGCTGATTAGATACAATTAGAATACTAAGATTGCATGGACTGATAATGTGTCATCATTTGGATGTAAGAATGAACATTTGTAGATAAAGTGTTTGTAAAACAATGCAAAACATCAGCAGTTTGACTAAACTTATGGGTGTTGCGTCGCAACAGTTGCGACGCAGTGCCAGTGGTAATGTCTCAATCAATTCCATGGGTGCCCAACACCCCCCCGGGCGTTTGTCGGGCTTTTGTCATTTTGGCGAAAAAACGTTGCAAATGCCCCAGTATGCGGTCCAAATAATGCAACAAAATCCCCACCCTTGGGGACTTATATTGACGCAAATGCCCCACCCTTGGGGGACAAAATATAAGTTTTCTGAGGATTTCTGATCCAAAAAATCGAATCCAAGCTCTATCACGTATCAATATATTTGTATTTAAAATCGATTCTATAGGCATTTCGTTTTAACTCTTTTAAAGCACGGCCATTAAACTTAGTATGTGCACGTACTAAGTCTGTTTCATTCGTATCTTCGGTTCAGTAAACGTTATGTAGATGAAAATACCACCATTCGATTCAGTGTAAAAATGTATACTAGTTTATAACGATAGTTTTAGTCAATGGCTACATTGTAGCGATTTATAAGCTTTGAAAGTCAAACGGGCTTATATATGATCAAATTACGCAATATTACTAACAAATTATAAACATAGACATACCTTTCGCCGAACATAACTTCGGCCCCTTGAGACGTATGCTCATTCTTGTATTCTTGATGAATGAAGCAGTTAAAAATAACACGTATAGTGTTATTTTCAAGCTTCTATCTTTAAAACGTGAGTTTTCTTGCCGAATTTTGCATTTCTGCCCGAATTTGCGTTAATCCCAAACCGGAAATACGACGAAAAACCGTCAAAACAATGCGTAGTTTGTATCGCGTGACTCTGGAAATGCCAGAAATGGATTCTACAGGTCAAAGTGCACCCATACGCGTGAGTTTTACGTCATCCCGGCTAAAGGGAGCTCCTTATTGGCCAAGTATTACGTAATACAAGCGCGTGCTAGTAAAACCCGATACCTTGAAAAATTCAGAATAAATATTTCTAGTCGGCGTATACATACGAAACTTTCTACACGAAAGCGCTTGAATACAAAGAGTATTTTACACATATCCTTTCAGGAAATGACACCAAAGTTTAGAATATATTCAACTTTTTCTCATTTTCTCCTTTGAATGTTTGGCGAAGCGGTGAGTATAAAATATACGCTTGTTTCGGTTTGTGTAATGTTTTGACAGCACTTGACCCCCCGTTCGAAAGGTTATATTGTGAGGATTTCAATGGTGGCATTTATTTAAAAGGGGGGTAAATACTCGCCGAGATATTTGATCATTTTTGGTCTCATTAATATTATATATATATATATATATATATATATATATATATATATATATATATATATATATATATATATATATATATATATATATATATATATATATATATATATATATCGTTTTGTGGGCAAATAAATATCTATCTATAGACCAATTGCGAAACTTAGTGACCGCGCCTTAAACTGCACGAAAACGAGGCTTATTATGCAAAAACAAATCATTCTGCTATACTTTTATATGGCGAAAAATGAATTTCAGTGTTTGAGACGTGTTTTTATGGTAATCTCTTCATTTTTTTAAAATATTTCTGTTTTGACTATGTAAATATTTACTAAACTTGTTCATAGATTTAGTCTTACTTCAAATTTCATTGTTTTTCGCGGCGTGCGAGGCAATGTTTTGCTGTTTTTGGCCGTCCGATAAAAGAAGCAGATTATGCCAGACAAAGAATCAGGTATTTTCCGTCTGTTTTATTAATACATTTCAAAGAATAAGTTCTAACATTGATTAATTTTGTTTCAGTTGTAATATAATAGCAAGTTTTCGATTTTAACTTTAAAAATATGAAAGTAAATGTCGGGCAAAATTTGTAGAAATTTTATGTTATTATCCTTTGACAAAATCGTTTTTTTCTCGCACGAAGTCTAAAAAAATCTGGGTAGAAAGAGTTATATTTCAGTTTATTATACTTATCTTGATCAGATTTTAAAGTCTAGATTGATCTTTTCCATATGTTTGTTCCATCGCATGCTAAAACAACAACGAAATATCTCTCCAAAGCGGGTAAAAATATAGTGGGAAATCGATGTTTAGATAAATTTAACAAATATTTATATAACCTAGCACGAAATATTAAGAAAAGATCTAAGAGATTCAAGAAAAAACACTTTAAAACCCTAAAATTCACTTTTCGCTATGTAAAAATATAGAAATTGTTTTGTTTTTGCATAATAAGCCTCGTTCTCGCGTGCAGTATGAAGGCGCGGCCACTAAGTTTCGC